ATGGATGCAGCCACCAGTGTGTCGGGGATTATAACTGTCCTCGACACTGGGATGCGAGGTGAGCTTCAGTGCCCTAGCCTCAACCTAGCCTGTTCGATTCTCTCCGAATTCAATCTACCTGATACGAGAATGAATCCGTGCACTATACGTGACTTATTTTCACAATCGCGCGTTTTGCCATAAAAAGTGGCTCGGAGCGCTGCTACTTAGCCTGGAGCCGAAGGGACATACTCACCTGAGTTTAGGTAGAGCTTCTCGACGCTCCGGTGCTGGAAGTAGTCTGTCAGTGCAACTCGATTATAAGCCACTTGAGTGCAATCAAAAATACGATTTTGCACAGCAGTCAGCGAATCCAGTGCACAAGACGAGTTTAATTCAATCCCTTACAATGGACCTCCTCCCCACAGGTTACGATTCGGTATTTTTCTGCTTTGTCCAAGTTCAGTAGCTTCTCTATAAAAGCTTTAGTAGCAGGAATGCCATCGTCAGATAAGCCGAGATGACGAAGAACCCACTGAGCCCACCGATTCCAACCATACCAAGACCAACTACGACGACTGTCTTTCTCTGTGTCGAGTTCTCCGCCCCCGGCATCGTTGCCATCATGTGAGGGGATCGTCAAGAACAGACCACAGTCTGTCTACAAGACCCCAGCAGTGATAGAGATGCAATGAACCCGGGTTATACTGGAACCGATCGTTGAATTGATAGCCCTGTTTCTTCCAGCGGACGCTCTATGAAGTTGACAGGTCATAGATTCTATATACTTTTTCTTCTATCAATCCATCAGAACACTGCTTATCAGAATCCTGGGTGGGGCGCCCAATGTCCCACTCATTCAAGAAGCGGCAAGATATAGATGGTGAAGGGCGGCCCGTCGAGACTTGTGACGGCTACCTAGCGTGTATGTATCACGTATCCTCGGGTAGTCACATATGCAGTCAAAACTGCGGGGCTCCAGATGCTTCTGATATTGCTTGCCGCCTGAAACTGAACCATGAGCCCGACAAAGCTCTCAGTGTGGCAGAAGCTGACGGAAGTGCACGTAAACCCCACGAACGGGAAATGCACAACCCTCCCTTTACTCAATCTACGGAATCAGTACACGCGCAATTTCCACTTGTAAGTCAATCCCACATTATCGACTCTTAGACCCGCTCCTATGTACTTTTGCCCCACAGGGCATGGCTTGGTTTCTGGGTCGCATTGTGAGTACTCTCCAGCACGTATGGTAGTATACGACTGATGATACAACCACTACGCAGTTTGTCGTGGTTCGCGTTCTCTCCTCTCATCCCGGAGGCAGTCAAATCCGACCTTAAGCTCACTAACGCGCAAATAGGTAACATCACTATGTTCTTGTGATTGATGATGCCTGTTGCCCACTTGGTCTACAGGTAACTCAAACATAGTATCTCTTCTCTCGACCCTCTTTGTTCGCGTGGTTGTAGGACCCCTTGTTGACCGTACGCCTGTCTTCCAGCTCTACTCTCACTCCATGCTAATCCTCGGACCTCAGGGTATGGCCCACGTAGAGTAATGGCAGGTATTCTTGTCTTGGGCGCCATACCCTCCGGCCTCGCAGGGACTATCAAGAACGCCAATGGACTCTACATCGTTCGCTTCTTCATCGGTGTGGCTCTCCTTCGTTGTCGTCCCTCCCTGTGTACGCTCTAATCTTTCACTTTAGGTATCCTTGGTGGTACATTCGTCCCTAACCAAGCGTGGACATCCGCATTCTTTGATACTGGCGTTGTTGGTCGGGCGAATGCGCTCTCGGGTGGATGGGGAAACTCTGGCGGCGGTTTCACGTTCTTCATCATGCTTGCGGTGTACGATCGCCTAATCAAAGATGGGCTCTCACAGCATGTGGCTTGGAGAGGTGGGTGGTCTCTCGCTTATCACCCTTCTAAGGCGCGGGCTGATGAAGAAGGCACGAATAGCGGCGTTCGCTATTGTCCCAGTTCCCATTTTGCTTGCCACGGCAGCCGCTATGCTCGTTTTGGGCACGGATCATCCGCTTGGACGCTGGGAAGAACGACATGTTAACTTGGTTGAACTGCAAGCAGAACCCATTGGACGCATAGATGGCGTGAATGAGCAAGACACACCGTTTGCTGGTTTAGATATTGGCAGCAAAGAGCGACCTGTGAATGTGTCTGTTGATATCATGCAAGGCCCAAGTAGGTGGTGGATATGCCGATTTTGGTTCTGCAGCATTCGTTGATGCGTTTTCCGCAGTATCGAGTCGTGGTCTGACTATGGATGTAGCGACTCGAGCAGTCCTTTCTCCGTTGATTTGGCTCCCCTCACTGGCATACCTCAGTCGGTCCCAACTCAATTCATCACTCTTCTTGTAATTCTTATGCCCTGCGCCTTCCAGCAACCTTCGGATTCGAGCTCGCAGTAGATGCTAATCTCTCGAACATCTTGTATGGTATATACACGTCCCCTTCCTTTGGCCAGACTAAGGCTGGGTATGTGAGTAATTCTATTTCCCTTATCTTTGAGCCGCTCTCCAAAACGCACGATGCTCACAGATTGCCGCTGTCTACGGAGTCCAGAACGTCTACTCCAGACCGTTAGGTGAGGTTCTCTATCCCCTTTCACGTTCAACCAAAGTATTCATCCGAGCACTTTCTTACCAATGCCCTTCGAAATGCTGGGCCGTGGGTTTTGACTAACCCAAAACTGTTCTTGATTCCGTCATCAATAGGTGGATACCTTGGCGACTTGATTTATCGCAGATTTGGCGCTACTGGAAAGAAATACTTGACGCTTGGTCTGGGTATCTTGCAGGGTTTCCTCTCCATCGCGCTGGGCGTGTACATTGATCGCAGAAAAGATCCTCCGCGTGCGTCACACCACTCTTCTTGCGCTAGAAATTTCTGTGACGAGCGCCGTCATCTGCGTGCGTGTGCAGTGGCGGTCGTAATAGTTATTTTTGTTATACTGGGAATTTGCAATCAGGCCGCAAATGGCGCCAATTTTTCCCTCGTTCCTCACTGTATTCCCGGTGCGTACTCTTCTTCTCGTATCCCATCTTCGCTATCTCCAATGTCCCTCCCCCTTTACTTACTCTAAACTGACGAAACGGTTCTACGAACAGATTCCAATGGTTTTATGGTGAGTCCTTGTCGCCGATCAGGTCGGTCGGGCAGGAGGAAGCTGGGCTGATTCCAGGGAAGATTCACGGTCGCTTACATCAGCGCCCCGATCCGGGGAGTCCTGCACATGGAAGCGCGCGTTTCGTTCGCGTTAGCTCGCTCGTGTATCCGTGAAAGATGACGAGGACGGAGCACTGTGAACGATGGACGGTAAATGTGGCGCGGAACCGTGAATGCTACGGACTAAGTTGTAGCGTGATTTCTCAGGCTTCGATGATCAGCCAATCAGCGCGATGTGGCTTATGCTTTCTCCCAAGTTTGGGTTAGGGTTCGTTCTCAACAGGACCCTGATGCGACACTTCTCCCTTATGATTGTTCAGGTCTAGCACAGAATTGGCGTTGACTGATCCCGCTTTCTATGCAGACCGGTATTGTCGGCGGAATGGGCAACTTGGGTGGGGTGCTCTTTGCGCTCATATTCAGAATGCAGCCCACACCACCAGGAAAGGAATTCTGGATCTCGGGTATTTTTGCCATTGTACGTCTGTCTTTCTCGCCATGTTTATAAGTTCACACTTTGTTTCTTCCCCTCTGTTGAGCCAAAGCATTTCTTGACTATGCCACTTTCCTAGGGCGTCAATCTCCTCCTTATTCCGGTTCGTTTATCCAACCTGTCAAGAACCACTGATGCAGTCTATATGCGTCCCTGAGCACACAAACCGATGTGTCAGCAGATGAGCTGCGGGAAAGAGATATAATTCAGATATTTCTTAGATAAGACGATGGCCTATGTCCCAAAGAACAATAGACTTCGACACGATCTCGATGCCATCTTGTATGGCATCCGTCACAGAACCTAATTGACCCACTTGGTCTCCTCACTCGCTCGAAACTGCTTATCGCGCCAATGACGGACGGCCGGTCCGCCTTCGCGTGATCAATTCGTGGCTCAGGGGTTCTTGTGGGGTGTCCCGTTTATTTGAGGGGTGCGGCTGCATCCTAGCAGACTACTCTCCCATGCAGCCGTCCGACAACAGCAGCAGCGATGAGGATATCCTGTCATCTCCCCCATCTCCTTACTCCTCTAACTCCTCTCTGGATGGAGAGTTGCAACAGTCCGAGGACAGGGAGGAGGACCGCACTTTACCTGAGAGCTTTCCTCCTGTCCCAGCTGACAAGACACCAAACAAACCTGCAGACTCCGACCTACAAACACCGGATAAATGGGTCCATCGCAACCCGGACCTCATTCGACTGACTGGTAAACACCCGTTTAATGCAGAAGCACCGCTCTCTCAACTTTTTGATGCCGTACGTATGCTTTGACTATCGTCTAACACCTATGAGGCGACACTGATGTCCCTCACGGAATCTTCAAACAGGGTTTTCTCACACCGTCCCACTTGCACTTCGTCCGAAATCATGGCGCTGTACCTAGAATGGATGCAACCACATTGCGCTCTTGGACAATACAAGTACATGGGCTCATCGCAAATCCGCGATCATTTTCTCTTCAAGACCTCCGTGCGCACTTCGAAGTAGTGACATTGCCGGTTACCCTCGTTTGCGCGGGCAATAGACGCAAGGAGCAGAACATCCTCCGAAAGAGCCTTGGATTCGATTGGGGATCTGCCGGAGGTCAGTTATACTACAAGCCTCTATTGCTTCTCTCTGACTCACATCTCCTTGCTAGTGTCTACCGCTCTCTGGACTGATGTATATTTAGCAGATATCCTTGCCTTTGTCCAGCCACTCCGTGGACGTGCGAAACATGTTATCTTCGAAGGGGCAGATTCGCTCCCGAATGGCCCCTACGGGACGTCACAACGCCTTAGTTGGGCCGCTAGCAGGGACAGAGGCATGCTCATTGGTGCGTGCCGTCCCTTTCATTAGGTATTTTTCTCTCAAGTTTGATTCTCTCGGCGATTCTAGCTTGGGCGATGAACGGCCGCGCGCTCGAACCGGATCACGGCTTTCCAGTGCGACTAATCATCCCTGGTCAGATTGGAGGTCGTTCCGTGAAGGTACTACTAGCGATTCGATTAGTGAGCGTTGCTGAATCTGCATTTTTCAGTGGCTGAAGGACATAGAAATCTCAGAAAAAGAGAGTAGTCACTACGTAAGCTCTTATACGCAATTGGCTTGAAATGAGGGAAATTACTTATTATGTTCTTTTGTCAGCTACACTACTTCGGTATGCATTACTCCATGGTCAAGATTTTGTGATTCGAGGTGATGGATACGGTTGGTAGACAACAGGGTCCTCCCTACGCAGCTTTCCCCAGAACAGGCACGCGCGGAGAAGCACTGGTGGTATGATCCAAGGTGCATAGATCTATCATGCGCAATCCATCCACTAACAAAATTTGCAGTTATATTATCAAGTATGCCCCTTCTGTTTCTCTTCTGAAAGAGATATTTACACAGGTCCAAGTGAATTGAATGTTAATAGGCATGTTTTCCAAAGTTTGGTTACAAATTCTATTCATTTATCATTCTACCGTCTTCTTTCCTCTTGCTTCAGCGCGATCACGAAGCCAGAGCATCATGAACGACTGGTCATAACGGACTCCCCAGCTCAAATGTATACAATTCGCGGGTACGCTTACGCAGGTGGTGGACGACGTATTACTAGAGTTGAAATTTCCCTCGATGATGGCTATTCGTGGCGGCTCGCAGAAATGTAAGCTGTCGCACATTTTTAACCATTCTTCTTTTATACACTTTTAATAACATCACATTTCATGCACATCTGAAAAGAGAATATCCAGAAGATCGCTACCGCGACTTGCAGCATTACGATGCAGCAGGTATGTACGGGAATATAAATTTGACAGAGAGAGATACTTCTTTGTGCGTTTCCCCTCCCCCTCGACGTCTGGACCCATAACTGATCGTCGATATGCAGTTGTTGGTGTTTCTGGTCATACAATATGGCACTGTCTTCCTTGACTAATGCGGACTCGATTTACGTGCGCGCTATGGACGAAGCGATGAATACCCAGCCCCGCGATATGTCAGCGATACCCCGCGTTTCTTAACATGGAAATGGCTCTGATTTTGATATCTCAATTATCAGGTATCCAAACCCAACATCAATGATGAATAACTGGTACATTTTCAGTGAATCTAATATATATTGTTTACGAATGCCAGATGTGCTCCAAGGTGGTTCCGCATCGCTATCAATAAGACTGGCTCGGAGCTTCAATTCGTTCATCCCGCACCAGTTGGGAAGATAGCCTTAGGCTGGATGGAGGTGTGTGTGTATATGACTCTCTGACACCCTACAACTCGCTGACTATATTGCTCTCTGCACCAAAGACGATGAAAGCAGAAGGAAGAGACTTCCTCAGACCCGTCTTTGGTTCTAGCTCAAATGTAAGGGAACTTTCCGACATACCTTCTGCAGCCGATACAGAAGTCGCTCTCACCAAAGAAGGTGTGTCGCGCCGAATTTCCTTTTCTGAATTGAGGGCCAAACATTGTGTAAGTTCACGAATATACTCACTCGATTCAACGAGAGAAAATTGACCTATGTCCATTAGTTCGCTGTAAAAGGTGAGGTGTATGACGCAACACCATACCTCGATGAGCATCCTGGCGGTGCGGAATCCATTCTGCTTGTCGCGGGCGATGACGCAACGGACGATTTTGTGGCGATTCATTCTGCTGATGCGAAGCACAAGCTACGGCAGGTAAGCCGCATAGTATTGACAGTAACTATGCATTCAATCAGTTCTGACATCGTCATTGTCGTGTTAACGCGTTGCAGTTCCACGTTGGGACATTGATACCGTCTTCGACGAAGACTCGTGCGATGCCCCCAGAAATTGTTTCGCACGAGCCTACCTCATTTTTGAATCCGAAGATCTGGAAAGTAGTTCGGCTTGTGAAAGTACAACGAGTCAATCACGACACATTCCTCTACCAATTCTCTTTAGGGAAAAGCACTGACACGCAGCTTCTTGGCCTTCCGATTGGTCACCATGTTTTTGTCAGACTGAGGCGCAAAGATACTCGTGAAATAGTTCAGCGCGCGTATACGCCTGTCTCTCAGAGAGATACCGCCGGACATATCGACTTTCTTGTCAAGTATGTTACCCTTATGGTCGCTCTAGACAAATTTTACTGAAATATGTTTGTTACACCTTCAGGTTATACCTTCCATGCGAGAGTCTTCCGTTAGGTGGTAAGATGACGACGGGATTTAGTCAACTCGAAGTTGGCGACGAGATCGAAATTAAAGGACCTTTGGGCGCTTTCACTTGGCAGGGACGCGGATCAGTCATATGGAAGGGTACCCACCGAACAGTAAGAGAGATTGGCATGATCTGCGGCGGTAGTGGTGAGCTCGACGTCTGAACTCGTCGGATTTTGGTGTTGTGCTCAAATCTGCTTCGTCAGGAATCACTCCCATCCTCCAAGTACTCCGCAGTATTGTCCATGATCGCGCTGACGAGACTCGAGTGTGGCTCATAGACGCAAACAAGACAGATGCAGACATACTCTGCCTAGAAGAGCTTAGCGAGCTGCAACGTCTCCGCGGTGCAGAACGCCTCCGCATTCACCACACACTGAGTGTGACACCGGAGGGATGGGAATATAGCACAGGCAGGATTACGAATACGATGCTTATCGAACATCTTCCCCGTCCATCTCAGGACGCCATGATTCTCGCCTGTGGTCCCCAGGCGATGATAACAGAGACGGTGAAGCCCGGATTGCAACGGTGTGGATGGGACACAGACCAAATGCTCGTTATATTTTAGCTCGACGTCGGGCCATTACAAGCAGCACAACGATTCGAAACTCAGTGTACAGACAATGTACACGCACTTGTAATTTGATAGAGTTCAATGGGAGTCGGATCTGGCATTCACCCTGAGATGGTTCAACAGCCATATTTGTGAACCGCATAACTGAGAATCTCAACTATATTCACCTACATACGACGCGCGATCCACCCTAATCAAAGTCCATCCCCCTTTGGTCAGAGTAAATTGCTGCCAAGACAGCCAATTTGTGTGCTCTGTGATACAGACTGCCGGTAACGAGATGAGCATTCTTTGTTCATGACAAGACACTTCTCATGTTTAGAAATGGCTTTCCAGACCCGTTCAATACTCCCTATTGGCGTCTTGATGACGAAAGCAGTCGAGGATAATATGGCTTATCCTAAGCGCGGATTGACGAGCGCAGAGTTAGCGAATGGCTTCACCTCGAAAACAACCGCCCGTCCATGACATCCGCAATGTTGACAAGGAAGGATTCCAGAACGAGCTGACAGCTCGTAGAGATGGCAAAGCGTGAAGAATGGTCAAGCTGAGCCCCATAGTCAAAAATCGAGAAGATCCTTAGAGCACCCATGCAAGTCAAGAGTTCAGTGAGTGTCGATTTATACGTGCGTTAGTCCCAAATCTCTGGTGAATCATTTGCCGACATCCACAATT